TTTAAATGTTAAATAATAGTTAACATCACTTAAATGCAGTGTTGGGAGTAATGCGGTAGAAAAGTAATTAATTACTGTAATGCATTGCTTTTTGCTGTAATGTGGTAATGTAAGGCATTACAGGGAAAGAATATGGTAATATTTACTCGGTACAATTGTCAGTAACGCGGTAATTACAATGCATTTTTAAACCCAGAATCAAGATGTGTTCCTTAAAAATTCAAATTGCGGGAAACCCGAAGAAAGATCCAGTATCTGCATATATTACGTCATTCATGGGCTCAGCTTTGCGGGCAGAGAGGACGCCGCGGTAATGACTCAGCTGCAGCTGCACGTGGCCGCTGTAACATTCACAAAATCGCTCCACTAAAACAAAATAATTCACTTGCGATCGTTCATATAAGCGCATATTCTCTGGTATTTTGTGCTTTTCTGACGTGTTTTGCCTCAGCTGAGTTCATAATCTGTGCCCCGGTGATTTCAACTCATTACTGCTGGAGCGCCGCACGTGTGAAGATCCCTTTGGCTGATCGTTAGAAAGTAGAAGTCTAGGAAACAGTTTTTTCTGGAAGACGGAGAAAACATGCAGCATGCAGGTTAGAGAGAGAAAGGGCAGGAAATTATTCAAATAAAATCAAGAAAACAAAACAAAGTGCTTGAAAAGAAAAAATAGGTAGATTTATCCCCAATACTCATTTTTACCAGTGAAAAGCAATAATATATAAGCATTTAATATTTATACATGTGATAGAATCAGATCACCCCAGAAGTCAGTCCCACATCCAGGGCCGTATCAAGGCATTTGGGCACCACGGCAAATATAGGCTTGGAGCCCCCACCACCTCACTCCCTGCTCAGTTAATATAAGATGGCAGCGTGCTGAGAGTACAGATTGTTGTTGCTTTTATTTAATAAACAATCATTTTAAAGCACTGTTATTATATCTGATTGTTTTTAACAGCAATCTTAGCTTAGACACCACATCACTTTCCACATATATGTCATGAGCTCACTGAGCGTCAGATTAACAGATTCATATTGAAGTTGTATTGGTGAAAGTAACTTAAAGTAATGCAAACGTAGTGTAATGCCTTACATTTTAAAATCAGTAATATTGTAATGTAATGAATTACTTTAAAATGAGGGTAACAAGTAATAAATAATGCATTACAGTTTTGAAGTAACTTGCCCAACACTGCTTAAATTCAACAGCAAATTCTCTCATTGCTACTGAGCATTTTCTCCACTTATGTGGTTATGACATAAGGCTGTTGCTGTAATTGGGAAGTGAACTGTGCTGCGCCAAACTAGGAGAATATTAAGATTTTCTGAGGGAAAGAGAAAAACAATTGTCTACCTTTCAGAAGAGGAACTGGCAAAAAAACTACATGGAAAATATGTGAAAACGTTTGTTTTTAACCCCAAATTGAACAAGTTTACCTAGATCTTAAAAAGCAGCTCAGATGATGAAACTGCAACTATGATTCTGATAGCAAGCTAACAAATTGAACTAGCTCCTCTTAAGATAACCGGCTAGCAGAGCTTCTGACTGACAGTTTATGTGCAGCAGCAAATCAACTATCCTGATTAACAAGGTTATAAAAGCTCATAAATGAAAAATCACTTTGATGTGTGGGGGAACTTTTCCAGGCCCTCTTTAGCAGGGTGGGACTGGGAGGAGAGTGCTGTAGCCTTTTAGCTGGAAGCTAACCGGAGCCTGGGCTAACGTCACCACCCGGTGGAACACTAGCGACATGAAGGTGGGTTGGTTCACCGGCACGTGTCGGAGTCAGCTCGGTTATTATCAGCTGCTAAACGACACCGGGCGGACTCACGTTCACGTTTGAAAGCAGCGCTGATTCCAGAAACCTCAGCACAAAGTGCGTTCGTTAATCTGAGCCAGCATGACGAACAAGGGAAGTGAGCGGCAGCGGAAAGCTGGGGCGGAGCGGAGCAGAATTTTGGGGTAAGGGTCTACGTAGGGGGCGGGCGTATTACGTGAACGGACCCATCTGATTGGCCGCATATCAGAAGGGCTACATTTGATTGGTCAAATAACACTTCCGCGTAAAAAACAGAGCTGGTTTACAAAAAGTTGATGTATGACACGGATGGAAATGTTTGAACCAAACATTTATTGCCATTTTTGACGTGCTTTGCGATGGGCCTATCGCACGTCCTGTTATCATGATGACGATAATGTTTCAATATATTGTGCAGCCCTAGTTTTTTCTTATTTTTATCTTGTATGCTTTTATCTTACCTGCTTTTATTTAATGTAAAGCGAACTATGTGTCTATTGCTGCTGCCTCTTGGCCAGATTGTTGTAAATGAGAATGAATTCTCAATCGACTTTTCTGGATAAATAAAGATTAAACAAAAATAAAAAATAAAGGTCAGGATAGTAGTGCTGGCCAGATTTAGCATCAGTGATCTCTTGGTGTTGGGCTGCAGTTAAAGCTGGTTGTCTTCCTCTCGCTCCCCAGGGACCTGATTTACTCTTTGGCTTGGCACCTAGAATATTCCAAGGAAGACAGCTCACGGATTTATTGTAATGCAAAGAGCCCTCTGGCCTCTTTGTGGAAGCATTGCTGCTGCTAACCAGCTGTGAGCCACCATCAACTTGTTAGGCAATTTGAGTAGGTGAAAGGGTGCAGTCATTTTCAAACAATCCATTTACTTTCCAGTTGACTTCTAGATATTGAAGAGCTGTGATCTTCTGAAGAAGTTCTTGGAAGTCTTCTGAAGAAAAGGAAGGAATACTGCTGCTATATTGATATTAGGGGGATTCAGCTGTTCACAGTCACTGTAGATCAAGATCGTAGCGAAAATACCATTGTATACTTCTCTGTTTATTAAAAAATATCCAAAAGATTTATAAGAGTATTGAAGTCAGTGAGCAGAAAAACTTTGGCAGGAAAATAAGTGCTCTCAGTGATAAAGAAAGAAAACCAAAAAGTCAGCAAGCAGGAACAAGGCACTGCAGCAAAGCAAAGCAGAAAATGTGCAAAAAGTAATCCAAAATCTGCCCCTCTCCTCCGAGTATCCAATGAAACAGGAAAACAGGTGCTTTTTGTCCCACAAAAATACAAAAAAACAAAATGAACGCCTGGACAAAAAAATTCTCACACTAGAGACTACAGTACATTTATTGAAATGAGTGTATGATAACAGTTTTGAAGACTTGCTGTAAATTACATTGCCTGTTGTAGGTAGTTTCCTGAGTAGCCTCATTTAACCACGCCATAACACAGCAAACGATAACTGCGTGTATAAGCAAAAATCCAGTAATTGTCTATTTGTTTAAGGTTTTCATACTTTTGTGTTTTTGGACATTCCAAAATGCAGAAGATAGCACAAGTGCTGATTGAAATGTAGACAGAAAAGCTCATGTTACACCTGAAAAAGAAGATCATCATTTCCATCATTTTAAGGCCATAACTTTAGTCTCTGTTTGAATCCAAGATGGCATTTCTCTAAAATATCATACACCTTCTAAGCACTAAGTTTACTGAGAAGCATTTTTACTTTTTTTTAATTTTTTATACGATTGTTCACTCTGAGTTTTACATACAGTCTAAATAAGCTTCTGACAGAAAACAGACGGGGAAACACTCAAATTAGAAAGGGCCAGACCAGAGATGGGCAATTGCGGCATTAACAAGTCATCTCTGGGTCATGGTTTTCTTCAGCTCAGCAACTAAACCAGGTGATTCCAATCAGCACAGTGAATCAACCTGGTTCAGTTGCTGAGCAGAACAAAAACACAGCATGGAGATGACTTGTTGATGTCACAATTTCCATCTCTGGTCCAGACAATTCTATGTCACAAAGAAATGTAGCATTCATGGACTCATTCATCTTGGCTTGCGACAAGGAAGGCTGTTATTTAGCATGTAGGAGAGAGCAGAACACATCCTAGCTAGTAGACACTAACCTGTAGCGTTAGAAACTCCACAACACAGCAGAACTTAGTCTTCAGTTATTTTTGGAGATAAAACATTAATGTTACAAAGCAACCAAAGTCTGTGACAGTGTTAGCCATTCAGAGGGGAGATGCCCAAATACCAGAAAACAGGACTCCAAAACCTTGAATCTTCTGCTCACCTCTCCTATAGCTACTTCCCCTCAGAGATCGACTCATGAGTAATTAATTTATGCTAGAGACCACTGCAAATGTATTGAAGAAAAAAAAATGAATTTGGTCTTTAAACGTCATTCTTAATCCAAATAAATAATAATAAAAAAAGAATTCTGACTTTGATCTCAGAAGTCTGGTGTTTTTTCTCAAAAGTCAAAAAGTCAGAATTCTGACAATAATGTCAGATTTTTTTTCCTTTTTTTGGTATGTTTGTTTTTTGTTTTTCAGTGCCTTTAATCCTCCTTTGTACTATGGTCTGACTAGTGACAGTAAAAAAACAAAATAATTTACCTTTAAAACAATAATAAATGAATAAATATTTGAAAGTAGACACTTTTTTTATCCAACCAAACATCTTTTGTTTACTTTTCTCAGAGAGACTGTTAAAACTGATGTTCCATTTTAGAATGTTTAAATCTCAACAGTCAGTTAATGTCAGCAGTTGTATTAAGAAATCAGATCTTAGCTGCTATTAATTAGTGATTTTAGGGACTTGTAAGTTAAGACAACAGCAGTGAGAACTCTTAGTTTTTCTTTCCAGAGGAAATTCTAATGATAGCTCTAATTACAATATCGTTCACTGGTGAAGGTAATAATCTAAAACCCATGAAGGAAGTCAGAAAATCTCAGCACTTTTCAGGAAACACCTGCAAGATAAAAGCCCCTTCCACCTGATGGCTCCGTGATGGTGACCACCACCCCCGGACTTTCGCATGGGCTCACCTGGGCTACAGCCCTGGGCCCCTGCGTGCTGGAGGGCCCCGCCCTCAGTCCAAAACGCATTTTTATTTTTGTATGTAATTCGCTAACAAGATGTTACCATTTAGCTAAGAAGCACTGGGATTTGTTTTGGCAAACATCTATCATGAGTCATGACTGCTTATAATTGGTCCAAGTTTTTTCACTCTTTACGTCACGGTGGGCGTTTGCAGCCTGACACACCCCAGTGTGCGGCGGCGTGAACAGTGAGTGCTTCGTAATGGCGGACAAACCCAGAAAATACAACAGTGGAGCGCTGAAAAGAAAGAAGAAGAAGGAAAAGGGGGAACGCGACAAAGAGGTGCTTCAGAAAATACCAAAGCTAACAGGTTTTTTTAAACCACTGAGCGAAGATGGAGCTGCAGGATCTTCCTTGCGTTCTGTAAACATTAGCTTTGCTAGCAGCATTGCAGTTCGGCCAGCTGATGTTCTAGCAGTTGCAGAGGAAACAAAGACGCCAGACTTGGGGGAACCTGCTGAGACCATGTCCACCATGGATTATCTTTTCCCGCTGGAGAATGATTGTGGAAGATTGGCGGCAGAATCCGAGGCTGCAGAGAAGGCTAAGACGACGAACCCGGGGGGACCTACTGAGGCCACGTCCACCATGGATTATCTTTTCCCGCCGGAGAGAGAATATGGAAGTTTGGCGGTTGAATCTGCGGCGGCAGAGGAAAAAAAGACGCCGGACCCGACAGCACCTGCTGAGACCACCAACAACACGAATGATCTTTTCCTGTCAGTGAGTGATTGTGGAAAGTTGGCGGCTGAATCCGCGGCTGATGTTCCGGCAGCAGAGACGCTCGACCTGGAGGCATCGGAGACCACCACGTCCTCCATGGATTATCTTTTCCCATCGGAGAGTGATTGTGGAAAATTGACGACCGCAAGTGCGTCTGGGCCACGGATTGAAACTTTGGATGAACCTTACAGTACGGATCCAGCTTGCTGGGGAAAATGTGATGCATCTGTGCGTGCCTACTGGGCTGAGCGAGGACCGCAGAGCTGCCAACACATGGACGTAAATTTTAAAGCGTCCGAACGTGTGTACAAACAGCAGAAGCGGTTCTTCTCCAGACTGCACTTTAAACGCAGACTCGCCAATGGTGAGTATGTCCAAAGACAGTGGCTGCTTTACTCTCCATCTACCGGAGCTGTGTTTTGTTTTGCATGCTGCATTTTCAGTGATGCTAAAAGCAAATCGTGCTTTGAAACTGGTTTCAGTGACTGGAAACATGCCACAAACAGGATGAAAGAGCATGAAAACAGTGAACATCACAGAAAATCTATGCTGACTTATATCACACTTGGGTCAGCTGCTGGGAGGATAGATTCAGAGCTGGAAAAACAATTTGAATCTGAGAGTGCATATTGGACTGAAGTTTTGAGAAGAATTGTGTCTGTTGTGAAGTTTTTGGCAGAGAGAGGACTTGCTCTTAGAGGATCTAGTCATGTTTTTGGCAGGACTGATAATGGTAATTACCTGGGCCTTCTGGAGTTAATCAGCGAGTTTGATCCCTTTTGAAGTCTCACATAGAGAAATATCCCTACTAACACAGAAAGTCGCCACAACGTCGCATTTTGCGACGTTTCGTTTGTGACGTCGTGACAACGTAGCTGCTACGTTTAGGTTACTACGTTCCACAGGGGACGTTGTTGGTACATTGCTGAAACGTCACACTACAACGTCCTCCAAAAGTCGCTTTACAACCTCTGTTAAATGTCCTCTCTGCAACTTATTCGGCACTTTGAATAACAACGTTGCTGCTACGTTGTTACAACGTGATAACTGTAGTTCCAGAATAAATAAAATTTTAGAGATTTTATCAAATTAGATTTTCAGCTTATCCATGAAAAATAACACTTATTATTAGAGTTTTGACAATAATTAAATAAACAATTAGTAGTTGCAGTACTTAAATCATGTTTATAGCTAAAATGTCTTTCTAATTAAAAAAATGGGACTTTTTATTTTATGAAAAAAACTTTTCTAAACGTTGTTTACTGAAAAACTCATTTTTGCCGTTTACAAATGTTTACTTTCTAAAATCTACCAGCAAGGAAATGTAAGCTAATTTACATGTTACTGGCCTCACTGCATTCCAATGGAATGGCTTGTTGCAACAACCCTGTTCCAGCCAGTTCTCTGATTTGTTATGGTCATCACATGTTCCACACCATCTTCCAATCAGCTTACTCTGCCTCTTTTTTTTGTTCTTATTTCATCCCTTGTTTTTTTTCCACAAGATTAACAGTTAGTTGCTCTTTGCTATTTGGCTACTTCGGATTTATTTGTCAACCACTCACTCCTTAGTTCGCTTGCTTCAGGTAAGAAAAAGTTTTATCATGTGCTTGTTAGTTCTAATTTTGGTTTATAAAAGGCAATAGCATATATCTGCCCTCAAACAATAGCTACCGCATGGTAGCTTACCTACTGTAGTTTATTCGGTCTGTTCAAGTAAAATCAAACAAACTAACTGGACTTTTCGCTTGATTTAGAAAAATATCAATCTAATTTCAAGCAAGATGACTCTGTAACTATTCTATTGATATAACTACAACCAGTGTATTTGTAGAGTTAGCAGTCCAGCTACCGTTAGCCACTAGGTAGCCCCATTGCTAAGCGGTCATTACACGTGTTCTCACATGTCTGCTCGATCAGTAAACCTCTGGGCTAATGTTCTGCCCTAAACGTTTTGCGGCTCAGTGGTTTTTAATAATTAGGTAATGTTTATTGGTGTTTAAGCAAGCCTTTTCACTGTGTCTGTCGACTTTATTGAGATCTTGTGTAGAGAGATGGCCATGTTTAGCTAAACATTAATGGAGTGTTAGAAATTTGTGTTTGGGGCAGGGGGCGTGATGGACTTATAGCCATTTGAGCAAGAATGTATCTAAAATATCCCAAGGACTGGACTTGGGCAACCCAGTCTTCCAAACTAGCAAAAGAAGAACGAGAATCAAATTGTTTAGTTAGCTAGTATTAAACATTGTAACACAAAGTATTGCTTTAGTTTGAGATGTGTAGTCAAAAGCTAAATTTTCATAAAAAATGGGTGAGTTTGTTGTTTTTTGAACATGCAGTTTATTCAGAAATTCCTGTGGCTATGTGTCTGTGTAAACTTGGTTGAAAACTAATCTCTTTTCCAAAATCTTAGGTGCATTATTGTTACTGGACAGCAAACAAAACCACATTCAGGAACCTAAATGTGGAACATCCATCTCCTGATTGGACTCAGCATAGAGTAAGGCTATTTCAGCGCCAAACAGGTACTGCAACTACTACTTGGCCATCAAATATAAATGGTTTCCTTCTAAGCATTTCATATGAACTTGACTGTTATGCTTATTAAGAGGAATATGAAGAAGCCAAGCGTCTTGCCAGGCAGTACCTGGAAGATTCCCAAGCCGAGAGTGAGAGAGAGGTGACCAAACGAAAGGTTAAGAACAATAAGCGGTACCTGTCCAGCTCCGATGATGAAGCAGGTAATGTTTCTGTCACAAACATGTTGTATATTCTTTTTAATAATATAAAATTGCAAAAAAAAAAAAAAAAAAACATATCTGTTTGCTTTCAGGTCCATGCTCTACTGAGAGAACGACAGGTTAGTTTTGAGCCGATGTTCTACTGCTAGAACTTGTGTTTTTAACTAAATCTAATTTTATTTTGTGGGGTGCAGAGCTCCATAATAATTTTCTAGCCCAATAATGTTTTTTTATTTATTTATTTATTTATTTTTCTTCATTTTTTTGCAGTTCCCATGGCAGAGAGAATGCTGCCGCTGATAGAACCATCCAGCAGAGATGGTGTGTATATTTTCCTTTATGTTTATCTAATTTATTCAGGCCATACTTCAATTTGTCCTCTAGACTGCCCACCAGCTACTTTAGACTGCAAATTATTTGTTTAATTTAGTTTTGATATGTTTTTCCCCCTTCAGTTCCTGTTTCGAAGAGGACAACACTGCCAGCTGAGTCCCTCAACGGTGAAGGTACACATTTTATCTTCTGCTGTAACTAAAATGTCAACTGATTTGTATATTTGCCTTTTAAAACTTTGCACTACTACTATTAAAATGTGTTTTGTCAACTCATAGATTTAATGGCCACAAGTACACCAAGGCAAAGAGTCACCCCAAGGCAAAAAGCCACTGAAGGCAAGTAACTTAAAATACCTCTACCAAAACCTAGAGTGGTGTATTAAAATGTTTTGGTAGATTTTTTTTTTGAGAACCTATCATTTTATCATTTCAGATCAAGCAGCAGACATCGCTGATGTTTTAAAGAATATTGCTGCAATCACAGGTGAGATTGAGTTCCCCCTTCTTAAAAGGTCCACTTATAAGTTAAATCTATTATTTGTGTTGTAATGTATGATTCTTCTTTTGTCCAATATATCTGCAAGTCACTGCTGATCAAAGTGAACATGATGGAGGGGAAAATGCACGCCATGGAGAAGCTGCTCCATAATGTGGCTTCTCAGCATTCTGAGAGCCAAACTCAAGATGATCTGCGCCTGTAGCCTTGTAAAGATGCGGAGGACTTTACCTTGCTTGACAATAACTTGCAGGACAAGGCATATTTCCAGCAAGCTGTAAGTAAACAATTGTAGACATTCAGAAAATGGTTTTAATGAAATCTGATATTTTATTTGATCAACTTTGTACAATTTATAAGGTCCGTTTTCTAAGCCTCATTGGAGGACGGAAGCTGGGAAAAAATACAAGAAGGACCATGCTGGCTGTCGCCAGCAATGCTGTTTGGTGTGGATACAGCCTGCATGGGAAGAAGCAGAAAGCCAAGCTGTGTAACCTTAAAATATTTAGGCTGATCAAAAGTGAGTTGATGCTTTTTACTGGACTTGTTTTATAGAATTTCATTAAATCTTTTTACAGCTGTCTGTCACAACTGTAAAACAGTTTCAGTAATCTTAAGGTTTCCTGTATATCACCTGTCTGTTCCCACGTGCTGTGAAGACCTCGCTTCCAGACTCCACAGATAAGGACATAGAGGTGCAAATAATGGAGGTCCTAAAGCATGCTCCCCAGAAAGTCAGAAGAGAGGTAACTGATTTATGACTGAAAGCTTGTTGGAGACATTTATGTGCTAATTGCTCACTAATGTATACCTCCTTTTTTTCCCTTCAGGCTGAAGCACAGCATCGTGCCACACAAATGGAGGCCCATTCTTCTGAGGAGGACTAAGTGAACCTGCACCCTTTCTGTTTTATTTTTCAGTTTTGTTCGCAATTTTTGATTTTTCTATTTATATATCTATATATTTTTGATCATTTTTTTAAGCGCCTTGTGATTTTTATTTTGAGAGGTGCTATAAAAATGTTTTGTTTAAATTGTGTATGCAAATGTCAAATCTTTATGTAATAAAAAGCTGAAAAGTCAGTTTATTGTCCATCTTGTGAAATTACATCTGATCCTGCTGCTTACTATTCAATTCAATTCAAAAATACTTTATTAGTCCCAGAGGGAAATTGATTGCTGTAGTAGCTCAGAATAATAATAATAATAATCAAGTCATCATAGAGTTGTTGTATGTTACAATGGCTGTTGGCAGGAAGGATCCTCAAGTCTTGTGAAGAGAATGCTCAGGGTTGTCCATAATTTTCTTGATTCTTTGCATTATCTCCTCCAGTGGTTCCGAAACGAAAACATATGCAGTAGAGCTTTTAAATGAAATCAAGACACCCCTGTCCTATATTACTTGTTTTTAAGGTTTTTATACATTTGTTCTTCCATTCTGTTTGTTTTTGCTGTTAATCTGCCATTAGTTTTGCAATATAATTTCCTGTGGTAAATAATGAATAAAGGTGAAAAAAAAAGTTAACATGAAAACGTCTCTGCAACGTGCCACAAACATTTAGTTAGTATGTTGTCACAATGTTATAATAGCGATGTTGTCACAACATTGCAGTAAAGTTGTGGATATGTCGCGACAACGTTCCAGCAACGTCCTATGTGACGTTCTGACAACGTCGTAGCGGAATTTCACTTTGGAAGTCGCTACTACGTAACATGCGACGTTCCTGCAACATCACAGGTGTCAGAAAATACGTTGCGACTACGTTGTTGCAACTGACCTGTGTTAGTAGGGATGGAAATGCAGGTGCAGGGACACCTTCATATCTGTCTTCTAAAATATGTGAAGAGTTTATTCAACTGATGGGTGATCGTGTTCTGTCTGAAATAGTCGGTGAAGTAAACATGGCCAAATACTATTCGATCTCTGTTGACTCCACACCAGATGTTTCCCACCTTGATCATTTAACATTTATTCTGAGATATGTGTCACCTGAAGGGCACTCCCAGGAACGCTTTCTTAAATTTCTTCCCATAGAGAGCCATACTGGGGAAGCTTTATGTGAGCTTGTACTCAAGGTTTTGGGAGAAATGAACATTGACATTGCAAACTGCAGGGGACAGTGTTATGATAATGCTGCCAACATGTCAGGAGTGTATAAAGGACTACAGGCACGTATAAAAGAAGTAAATGCCCTTGTTGAATGGGTTCCATGTGCAGCACACACCCTGAATTTGGTTGGGGTCAACAGTGTTAACTGTTGTTTTGAGACAGCTGATTTTTTCCAGTTTGTGCAAAACCTTTTTAACTTCTGCTCCAAGTCAACAGCAAGGTGGAACATAGTGACAGCTGGACTCAAGCCCAATGCTAATAAGCGCATTGAAACATTGAAGTCACTTTCTAACACAAGATGGGCTGCACATGCAGATGCCACACAGGCCATATGCATAAACTATGCAAACATTCAGAAATCTTTAAGGACTATTGTACATGACACTAACCACAATGCAGCAACTAGAAATGAAGCCAGGTCACTTGATAAAAAAATGGACAAACTTGAAACTGCCTTCATGTGTACTGTGTGGCATTTCATCCTCCAGCGCTTTGAAAAGGCAAGTGTAGCGTTGCAGGCTGTGGAGCTAGACTTGTGCAAAGCTGTGGATTTGGTACGATCCTTGAGGGACTACATTGGAGGTTTGAGAGACCAGTTTGACAGGTTTGAGTCGCAAGCAAAGGAGTTGTCTCCAACAGTTTCACATGTTTACAAAGGAAGCACTCAGAGACAAAAGAAAGCAAATACAAAAGGAGAAAGTGCCACCACTTCAGAGGTGGAGCAGTCAGCGAGACACAAATTCTCCACAAGTGTATTTTTGGTGGTGGTTGATAGACTACTTGCTGAAATGGATCGCAGGTATGCTGCATATGATAACCTCAACAACACTTTTGGCTTCCTGAACAACCTTTCTAATGTCACTGCCCAAGAACTACGAAACAAAGCCTCTAATCTCCAAAGAAAATATTCAGCCGATCTGGAGATGGACTTTGTAGAGGAGATTGTCCAGTTCAAAGATTTTATTCAGAGTAGAAGCTTCACTTCTGCTCCATTACTTTTACAGTTAATCAGAGAGAAAAACCTACAGAGCATCTTTCCGAATGTGGATATTGCATTTAGGCTTTACCTGACATTCCCTGTCACAAATGCAAGTGGTGAGAGATCATTCTCTAAGCTTAAAATAGTGAAGAACAGACTCAGATCAACAATGGGACAAGAAAGACTGAACAGTTTGACTCTCATGTCCATTGAGAGTGATGTAGTGAGAAGGCTGGACTTCAGTGATCTTGTCAAGGACTTTGCTGCCAAAAAATCCAGAAAAGTAAGCATGTTCTCAAAATGCTGATGGGTTTTAAAAACTTTGACAAATGAGTAAAAGAGCTTGGTTGCCTGATCCATCTTTTGCTTTGAGCACAGTCTTCTGTCTTAGTGGCAGATGAGTGCGCTTTTGCCTTTTGTTTATTTTTGTTTAAGTAATTTGACAGCAAAAGCAGAATTTGAATTGTATTAAAATGCTCAATGTGTAAATGACTACCTAATGTTAGGTTGTTGATTCACAGAGCTTTTAGAAGCCAAAGTTTAAATAACATTTTCTTTCTATAAAATGCAAATCTATTCATTCAAGGATTATTGTATTGTGTGTGAATTGGTTTATTAAAGATGTGTGATCTAAACAAAAGTTTCAATTTGTAGTCCTTAAAATAATATAGTAAAATTATGTGTGTGTGTGTGTGTGTGTGTGTGTGTGTGTGTGTGTGTGTGTGTGTGCGTGTGTGCGCGCGCGCGTGTGCGTCTATGCAACAATTTTGAAACAGGGGGCCACCTAAATTGACTGAAGCCCATGGGCCCACAACCTCCTAAATCCGGCCCTGGTGACCACCCAGAACTGGCTGTATCAGTAATGAATCTTTAGAATGTGTTGCCTCTACAGATTTGCTTGAAATCTACTGTGACATCTCTTGAATACCTATTTTTATGCTTTAGTTTTTAACATGGCATGACAGTCATTGTTTATGTTGTGTATATGTATTTTTATGATGTATATCATATATGTGTTTTTTTTATTCCATTTTGACTCTAGGAAGCACTTTAGTTAGTTTTATACTGATGTAAAGTGTCATACAAATGAAGTTGGCTTGGCTTTCACAATCAGTAGAATGTTATAGAGTAGAGAAAGCATTTTACTTTACCCAAAGTTATTTGGTTGTTAATATTTTTGTCTGGAATTCATTTTAATTTAAGTAATTGATTCTAACAACAAGCAATGCTTTTTTTTTCAGGTGGAAATCATAGTGCTGTATTTTGTACTCCTTGTGTCATGACGTGCAGGTGAGGTGAGCACAGGTGAGGATCCACGCGCAGGTGAAGGTGAAGAAGGCAGGCAGGCAGACGGGAACGGTTTAGCAAGGTTTTTAATATAAAACATGCTGGACATATAACAATGAACCGACAAGACAAAAAGGACTGACAGGGTTTAAAGAGCAAGTAACGTCTAAATTAACTTTTTTTTGCTGATGAACTGCATAAATGAGTGTCTAATAGTGTTTTAAATGTGTGCATTCTTTATTTTAGCATTTTGGTGCATTTTCTTTAAAAATTAAAAATTCTGTCTAAAAACCACAGTAATGTGCCACCTTCAGCTGAAAACATAGAATTTGAGTCATTTTGAATAAATTTTAGCCAATGGCTAAAGAGTAAAGTACTACGTAAACCAGTAGAGTACTGCGTAGCAGCTCCGTGCCAAAGTTATAAAAGCAACGAGCGTCTCGGCCACGCCCTGTGGCGAGTGGGAGTTGGATTTGCAAGCGAGTGTAGGAGGTCAGCGGTAATTCAGCATTAGCATATAGCATTAGCATATCCTAGTCTTTAGCATATCTTTTAGTGTTATAAATACTTATTTAGTGTTAGATTTGGCTGTTGGATATTGTAGTTTAGTTAGTGTTTGGCTGTTAGTGTAATTGGCAAAGTATTTCGGGTTTAGTGCTCCATATCGTCTTAGTATTGGTGAGTAGGTGTAGTCTAGTATGGTTGCGGTGGCTCTGTGGGCATTTTACCCGCGATTCTGCACGTCTCCGTTTGAAGAGGGAGGCTGCCCACCATGGCTCTTCCGCGATTTAGATGCAGCCCACCAACTCTGCTCCCCCACCACGGCGGGCTCCAGTCTGAGGTGAGTAAGCTAAATAAACGTTTTAACATCTTCTAAAGACAATTCCCTACCTAAATGCAAAGTCTGAGAGACGTGGTTCACTTCCTTTAGCTAGTCAGTCGGCAATTCTGCAACAGTGGCTCTAACTAACAGCACTAGTTGACAGACAGCATTACAGCGTGAAATCCAGCACAGCGTGACCCGGTTCTGTAAGGAATTCTGTTCAGGAGGTCACATTTCAGGCTCTCCACATCATATGTGACTGACTTTTACGTTATAACGATCACACACTAGGAATGTTATAAAGCACCTATATAGGAGATTCTTTTGTATATTATCTGACTTTATAAACTCCCAACAACAATGTGCTTCTATTTTTTTTTTCAGGCTAAATCTACCCAAGACCCTCGCTGTCAGACTGATTTAGCTGCAAGAATGCACTTGTCCAGGCAGACGTGAAGCCTTACCTGTAGCAAAGGTGAATTATTTTTAATAATCTTCCATGTAAACATTTTATTATCACCTTCTAGTTTTAATTTGTTTTACAGATTATTGTTACACGTGATTTTATGCTCTTTTAAACATTTATAAATGTGCTGCTTCTTTGTTTTGACATAGCCAGCCCGAATGGAGTTCACAGCCGCAGTGTGTCTGGTGACCCACGGGGACCATGATGAAAATTCATCTTCCAGAAGGTCCCAGAGCAGCGGCCACACCCCCTGAAAAGACCAAGGTGTGAGGTGTCTGCTGTTGATTCCAGCTTCCACCTCAGTGACAGTGCAAGCTCAGTGAACTGTTCAAGGTAAAAAAAATTTAAACATTTCAGAATTTTTAAGATATTAACAATTAAATAAGTATGTGATTACATCATGACATCATGACGGAGG